AAATATATATGTACATATAAATATATATATAAATATATATGTACATATAAATATGCATACATACATACATACACACACACAGACACACGCATATATATATATATATATAATTCATACACACACACACACGCACACACACACTCTCTCTCATACACACACACATATATATATACACACACACACACATATATATATATACACACACTATATATATATTGATGCACGTACAAAAAAAGAAACATTAAAAAAGTGATGCTAGTAGGGGATTACCTTGTATCTGTTTTTCTTGTAATTCGAATTAAATTGTTGTCCCATGAGCATAATGCCGATTTAGTTGGCAGCCGTTTGTGGCTGACGTGTAAATCAAGGATGAGTGCTTGTCCAGAAAATCATACTTTTTAATTGATATTGTATGCTCATGATACATACTATAACGCTTACTATTTGGTCACACACACTGATGACACACACTGATGACTACTATTTTGAACTCTGGCGACATAAATAATCAAACTTCAAAGTCATACTTTGGGAGTCAGCTCGCATATTACTAGAGACTAAGGGTCCCGTGTGACATAGATATTGTTGGCTCCTTGTTTTCGAGATCTTCTTCGTCTGTCGACATCTATTGTTGGTATAGTGCGGTGGTTCTTTCTGCATCCTTAAGATAGATGATATTTTAAATATCTACTCCACACGCCCATACACTTGCATCGATCCCTCACTAAACGGTTGTGCATTCTCAATCGATCCAGCATAAAGCGGTTCAATTCGACGTTAATTCTAAAAGGCGTCTCTCAGTTGTTGTAAGTAAAGTGTCACTGAGGTGACATATTCACAACTCGGATGTCAACGGAGAATCAATACATGACTGAAGTGCTCAACAGGTTTAAACCTCCAATATAATGGTGTCAATCTCAGCTGTTCTACCCCTTATAGACATTGCATATCTGTATCTTGATGATCACTCATGTTTAAAGCCCCTTCACTCATGCATTTTGGTCAATATGCAACATTTTAACACTAGAAATAGTCGCGGATCCGTGATTCCATGCTGATTTGAATCGCCAAAATAAAAACCCACTTGAAATTTCTATTCGAGTTCACCACCGTTGATGTACAGTGTCTGATTCCAACCTCTCACCACTACCATCTTCCACTTTCCAATAATCACCTGCAACGCTTGATACTCACGTACTAGTTGCGATGCTGCAGCCTTTTCTTCTATTTCAACTACCCAGTCCTCCTATCTCACCAGGAATCTATTCCACCCTGACCCATTCCGGCTGTCTCAAGAGATGCTATGTCACATTTGCGATACCTACGACTATATTCACCCTCGCCATTTTCTCAGGCTTTCACACGGCACTTTCCGACCTATCAGCAGTAGTTGCTTCTTTCGCTTCTGTATTCGACAGCGTCTTTTTATCTGCGGAAGTTTCTGATGCTTTCGGTTCGTCGTCTGCATCCAGATCAGCAGGGCGCGCCATCATCTTCTTGATCTCCGGTTCTGTATCCTCTGCGTTGTTTGAATTTTTCTTCTGCAAATAGTTCAATATTGTAAAAATCCGATGTAAAATTTTTATTTTATTTTTTAGTTCATGTGAATAAAATCAAGATGGTACGTTTCGTGCTACAATGGCATTCTCGGCAAACATCGCATATATAGCATGAAGAGGAAAAGGTGGTGTATGGACAATGGCACTCAAGTTTGCCTATCGAGGTAGGCACCGGTATAGACCTGTGCGAACCTACTCAGCTCTTTTGATTGATTTCTAGGACCCTAAAATACTAAAAACCATCTCAGCCTATAATATGGTGCTATAGTGTATTCACACTTGCATCTCAAGACTAGAATTTCAATACTAGACTGTCTACAATGATCTGAGCGCCTATTTCTCTAGGAAATCATTCCACTACAATCACTATATATCCAACATTAAACACGGATAATCTTTCACAACGAACTTATTCGGCACTTCGAAACTTCAGCACGAACACACAAATCTCAATCGCTGGTGAGTATACTTCGGGTATCGTACCATAACTCATTGTCTCAGCGATCACATCTTAGTTGCAAGATTCTTGCCCAATGAAAGCGTTGCTAAATGGGAATCTCCATATCAATACAAAATATAAAAATGAGATTTATAAACGACAAAGGTTTATTCATGCACACATACTTGCGTGAGAATCTGTATACACTTACCGCTTTCTTCTTCTGTCTTTTGGCGCGCCGCTTTTCTGCCGCCTTTTGTAGTTCATCTTCTTCTCTCATTCGTTTTTCGGCGAAGGCTGTGTCTTTTTCGTCCTGCACGTTCCCATGTAGAATCCGAATCAAAGTGGTAAGTATAGTGTGCAATGATTAAGAAGATAGTAAGAAGATACACGTCGTGATACTTGAGAGTGTGTTTAAGTACGTGCAATGCGATGGTAATATAGAAAATATAATCTGGATGCGAATCGTGATAACACGAATTTTGCAATATGCAATCATCAGCAGATACGGATGCAGATAATAATCCAACGTGCATACACACACCTTAATAATCCGTCAAAGTGCATACGTATACAATAACAACAAAGTTCATCTAAATAGAGCATACAATTCTATCGTATGCATGCGCCACAACGGCGTACCGGTCATACCTTCTTCTGCTGTGCGTCGTAGTAGGCAGACCTCGCATATTCATGTCTCCTCGTTGCTCGGAACACATGGAACTCGCCACTTCCGGCGCCTGTTGCGATTCGAAGCAGGATGTCGTACATATATGTGTATACAGACATGTATATCAGTACCGGGGGGATGAGCAATGTTGCACTTTAAAGCCTTGTATACAAAAGTAGTATTTCAGTTTTATCTCACAAATCACAATTTACAAAATGCCAACACATGGGCGCTGCTCGTCAGATGATACGTGTGTAGGCACATGCGAGTGTTTCCATTATTACAGTAACGTGCCCGTCGTGCACTACACACACACGACGGCATAACTAAAAGTAAACGCAGAACTGTGAGGGAAAAATCCATCAGAAAATACAAAATATATATTGCAAGGTCGGCATATTTGTCGTTCTACATCAAGTAGATTCTGTTCTTACCAGCCGTGGAGCCCATAACGTTACGGAAGAATTCCTTTGGCTTGGGGGCACCTTTGTCTTTAGGTCTCTCTGGGATATTGAGGGGTTTGTCGATCTGTGCGGAGAGACATAAAAATGTCGAGTTGAATATCGAAATCAAAATGAATGCAATCGCCAAGGATACAAACATAATGGCACGTCTCTACAGATAAAACTATACAAATATATCATATGAATGCAAAGGTATGAATGCGAATACACGTTCGCTTAACTACTTTCGCGAGTGGGTAACAGCACGTGCTTTATCTTTCAAAGAAGAACCCCTTATATATATATATATATATATATATATATATATAATAACACACACACACACAAACATACACAAACACACACACACACATATATATATACATATATACCTGAATATACACATTACTATGAATACATCAATGTATATAGATACAGATATATACAGATATATACCTACGCAAACACAAACACACACACACACTGATATATATATATATATATATATATAAATATACATACATTTAAAGAAACATACAAACATACATACATACATACAATATATATA